TACATATTTGCAAGCATTAGTGAAAGGATTAAAATGGGTAACACATTTTCAGAAGGTTGGATTTCAAATGATAAATTTTTATAAGCAAAAAACAGGGATTCTACATGGAAAAAAATTGTAAAACAAATTTCTACAATTATACATTTTTTTTCTACAATAAATAGTACATGTAGGGACAGAGATAATAGAGTGAGACCAATCATCACTGTAGCCTAAAGAGAGAGACGTATTCTACAGAGAAAAAACAAATTTAATGAGGGTTCTTGGTCGTGTCTTGTATCTACTATAATAATTATGGTAATATCTATTGTTCTGCTCTATGACTAATTCAATTTAACAGTCTTTAAGTAATTATCTGCTAGCTAGACTACAATATTTATTCTTCAAACGTTCTGTGAACATTTTCGGTTACTTACCTTACGTAAGAGGACATGCCGAATTTTTTAATTAACATGTGTGTGGGTATACAAATATTAGCCATAAATATTTTTAACAATAAAATGACGTCAACCAGTCTATAATTTTACCTATAAATATAATCCTGGATTTTTAGAACTACCTCTTAATACTTTTTATTAATATACAGGGTGTCTGTAAAAGGTCTTTACAAAAACATACCACATATTCCTTTAACCAAAATAAGTCGATTCAAGTAAAATTACCTTAGTACAAAGTTGCTTCGTTTGGGCTCCAGAGGGCCTTGAAGTTACAATTTTTAAATCGTTTTTCCCATATAAATTTAAAACGGCATATGCGATTTTGCTGAAATTTGGTATATTGGTAGAGTTTTGTGGCAAAAAAAGATGGTATTAAAATTTTGTCCGATAATAATACATAGGCGTAGAACTTAATTTTTTAAATAATTGCACCTTTAAAAATTCTATGCCAATGGAAGAAAAGGAGTTTGAGTATGAAATTTAGATTGCGCAACTCATTTAATTTAAAGAAGGTACTCTTGATAAGACTCGATTACTCTCATGGTTTTGACGAAATTTGCATTTTAGTAATTTTAGAACATAAACAATAATTATTAAAATACAAACTTTGTCAAAACCATGAGAGTAAATCGAGTGTTATCAAGGGTACTTTTTTGTAGTAAATGAGTACCTAATCCAAATTTCATACTCAAACCCCTTTTCTGCCATTGGCGTAGAATTTTTAAAGGTGCAATTATTTAAAAAATCAAGTTCTACGCCTATGTATTATTATCGGACAAAATTTTATACGATGAAAAACATAAAAATGTACTTTTTTCAAATCTTTTTCAACACCTCTAATCGAGACTTTTAACAAAAATACTCGATTCTTGCCATGTACGATTTTTTGAGGGATAATAATTATTTGCCTACAATACGTATACAAAAACATTTATTGTTGGTTTCCATAGTTTCATCTAAATAAAAATATTGTCAAGTTTTAATACCTAATCTCTTGTTAACGATTGAAAGTGTTCTATCTGACTCAATAATTAAAAAAACAAATGCGTGGTTTATTAATATGGCTGTACAATATACCAATACAGAATATACCGATATGTTACTGACATTAGGATTTTGTGAAGGAAATGCTCGAGAGAGTGTCAGAGTGTACTCTGAAAGGTTTCCAAATCGTCGTGTACCTAGCCACCCAACTTTTGCTGCTGTTGAGAGATGTTTTCGGGAGACCGGTTCCTTTGCTCCCAACACTGTTGATAATGGAAGAGAACGTTTTGTAAGGATTCCTGAAGTTGAAGAAGACATTTTAAAACGTGTTGAAGAAGATCCAGAATTAAGCACCAGACGAATTGGAAGGGAACTAGGAATAAGTAAAGATGTCGTTCATAAAGTGCTTGGATAACAATTGCTATATCCATACCATAAGAAGCCAGTACAAGAATTATTAGTCCATGATCCTCAAATTCGTTTGGGTTTTTGTCGATTTGTTAATATGCAAAGAGAAAGAGATCCAAACTTTGTCAAGAAGGTTCTCTTTACCGATGAAGCGGGTTTTACAAGAAGAAGTATAACTAATACCCATAATGAACATGTTTATGCCGTTGAAAATCCGCATGCAATAAAGGTAAATCATTTTCAACACGAATTCAAAATTAATGTGTGATCTGGAATAATTGGTAATTTCATTGTTGGTCCTGTCGTACTTCCACGAAGATTAACTGGAGAAAATTATTTGGATTTTCTACAAAATACGTTGCCAGAATTGTTAGAAGATTTACCTCTCCAACTTCGGAGAGATATGTGGTTTATGCAAGATGGAGCTCCACCACATTTTTCTTTAAACGTTAGAAACCACTTGAATGAACAATATCAACACAAATGGATAGGGAGAGGTAATGACGCACCTGTAAACTGGCCACCACGTTCCCCAGACCTAACACCGATGGATTACTTTTGATGGGGACATCTGAAATCCACAGTTTACAGGGAACCTGTAGAAAATGAGGAACAACTCTGGCAAGGTATTCAAGATGCAATAAACAATCTTAGAGGTGATGAAGAAGTTATGGAAAGGATACATTTGAATTTTCTTCGACGTACAAATCTTTGTATGCGTGAAAATGGTGAACATTTTGAACAATTTTTGTAAAATCTCTATTTTGATTGTTGTAAATAAATATTTTTGTGAAACCTATACACTCTAAATTATTAAAACAGAAATTTAGCGAAAACCATGAGAGTAATCGAATCTTATCAAGAGTACCTTTTTTAAAGTAAATGAGTTGCGCAATCTAAATTTCATACTCAAACTCCTTTTCTTCCATTGGCGTAGAATTTTTAAAGGTGCAATTATTTAAAGAATCAAGTTCTACGCTTATGTATTATTATCGGACAAAATTTTAATACCATTTTTTTTGCCACATAAAACTCTACCAATATACCAAATTTCAGCAAAATCGCATATGCCGTTTTAAATTTATATGGGAAAAACGATTTAAAAATTGTAATTTTACTTAAATCGACTTATTTTGGTCTAAGGAATATGTGGTATGTTTTGCCACGTGCTAAAACGGGCTACGGAAGTGAGTGCACGAGCAAAAAAAGGTTACCCGGCTTGGGGTGAGTCCTGAAAATATTTATAAGGCGCCACCAGCTCGACCACGACTCGAACTGGAAAGCCCCTTGATCTAGTAAGGTTCCGCACCCGAAATACCGCAAAACAAATCTAAAATCCTAATTACACTGTACTGTAAAGTGAAGCTTAATACCTAATTAACAATAGAAAGAGAAAAACATAAAATAAAACACCGTTATCCACAATAAATCTCCAGAATATTTTATTATAAATTAACGCCTGAAATTTATAGTCCAGAGATGCAACAAAAATATTAAAACAAATGACTAATATTTAGTATCTGATTATGTTATTTTATGTCCAAAAATGTGGTTTTAAAACCCCCCAGCGTGTACACGTTGAGTTCACAGATGTAAACTAGCCAAATTTTAGATAGAAGGAAAAATAATAAAGTTTTATGAGTCATAAATAAATGTTCATGTAAATTCAAAACCAAAACGTTGCGCTAAATAAATGTGTTTTTAAAATAAACGATATACTATTAAAATATTTCTTATCTGTATTTTCCTGTTCGTATTCGTCTGGGCGTGGTCATACAATAGGACAAGCTGTATACTAGAAAAGCAGAAATTCCAGAGGTCTGGTGAGGATATAACGGCGATGATGAACTCCAATTCAAATAGTGTGACTGGCCGAAAAAGTTTAACAATGACGTATTCTGGTGAACCGGTGAAGACGACGTGAAACTGCCAATTCCTGGATCTTTTAACGGGACCCTATGCCTGATTGGGTCGTTACTTGGATTGTATAAGTACTTAGATCGTATACTCGTACCGTATACTTGGACCCTACATTATAAAAATTACCCCGTGATAATAAATTTGATTTACAAAATAATTTAAGCATGTACTTTACCTCTAATTGAGGGCGTTGACAATTTAATCCTTCCACAGAAGATTTCAATCTTAAAACACCACAATAATGCACCTAACGTGCCAAAATGCATACAAGATTGATTACGAGAACACTTATGAATTTTATCCACCAAGGGTGTAAGATTTACAAATAAATCACCAAATATATATCACAGTGTTCACTGTCAACAGTAAGTATCTCGCTAATACAAAATTAATTTATTTCGACTTCCGAAGAGTATTGAACCTTTTTTTTTTTTTAAATGGGCAAAAACATAGGAGATAGCTACGGTTTATTTTCTACTGAAACGAAACAACTATCGACACCTATTAATAATTGAAGAATATAATAAAAATATCGAAATAGATATCCTCAAACATGGAAACAGATAAGAAACGCCATTTTTAGTCTAATTTATATTTAAATTATTAAAATAAATTAAAAATAGAGATTTCACCATTTTAACCCGTTACAGTTTTTGTAAAGACCTTCTGCAGACACCCTGTATATTTATAAATTATACGAGTATTTGATTTAATATAATGTGAAAATATTCGTTTGGAATCCATTCAAAGCTATCAAACAAAAAGAACTATATTCTGACAGTACTTCATTATAAGTTATATGGAGACAATAGTGAGACAAACAAAATAAACAAACATATGTATCACAAATATAGATGTTTGTGATAAAACATCTATATTTATATTGCCTAGAAATAAATGACAATATTTATTATTACTATCATTCACCTGTAGAAATTGTTCTAATAATATACAAGGGTTTCATAGTACACCAATTTTATGGAATATTTTTTATTGAAATATCTACATTTAATTTTTATAAGATTTTTTAATTTGATTAAAATTTTAACCTTAAAATAGGTGTTATAAAAATAAAACAAAAATTATAATTTTTTTTTTAATAAAAAATTTAGACATCTTGGATTTACAAGTACATCGACGAAATAGGCAAAATATATACAATTTCAAAATTAAAATAACACGTTAAAAACTTTTGTCACTTTGTTTTGACAGTCTTAAATTCGTTTTGTTCGAAAACGGGCTAAAAATTAGCTAAGATGTTTGGGCATTTTCAAAATTATAACTACTTTCTGCTATAGCTGTTAAGGTCTTGGCTGTAGATCTTCCAGTTTGCTGCACTAACGAATAGAATATACCCTGTTTATCCTGTAAAAGGGTATGAGGATGGTCGAATTCTACAGATCTTCCAGCATCCATCACCAGAACCTTATCAGAATCCATGATGGTATGCAGCCTGTGGGCTATAGTTAGCACCGTACAATTAGCAAACTTTTTCCTGATAGTTGTTTGGATTAAACCATCTGTATGAGGATCTATGTTAGCCGTGGCTTCGTCTAGTACTAGGATTTTGTTGTTTCGTACTATAGCTCGAGCTAAACAAACCAGTTGCCTTTGACCCACACTGAAATTTGAACCTCCTTCGGCTATTTTACTATCTAGACCTGCTGGTAATTCGTTTACAGCGTTTTTGAGTTCTACTTCGTCCAAGGCGTTCCAAAGATCCTGAAAATTACATAAGAAATTATATACAAGTCATCAACTAGAAAGGAAAATACATTTATATAGGTTTGTTATGTGTACCTCATCTTTATACTCATCAAAGGGATCCAAGTTTTTCCTCAAAGCTCCAGAAAACAGCACAGGCTCTTGAGGTATAATGGAAATTTTCGATCTCAGTTTCTTCAGAGAAACAGTTTTGGTATCGACACCGTCCAAAAGAATCTTTCCATCTATATAGGTTAATCTAAAAAGTGCTTGTATCAAAGAAGACTTTCCTGCTCCCGTCCTACCAACAATTCCTATTTTTTCGTTTGGTTTTATAGTAAAACTAAGATTTTTAAGCACAGGTGGATCGTCTGGAGAGTAATGTAAAGACATATCGCTGAATTCCACTTCACCATTTGAAGGCCAATCAGCTGGAGGTTCGTAGGTTGTATTGTCTTCTTCTTGCTTCAAATCGGCGTATTCTTGGACTCTTTCTACGGACGTCATCTGGTTTTCTAACTCACTCCATTGTCGCATACCCCATTGGAACATACCTGTGAGACCCATGGCTTGAGTTAGAGCCAGACCCATATTACCACCAAATTGTTCTTGAGAAGGAAAAATAAATGTCAAAAATGTATCTTTAAAATTAAAATAATTTCAAAATCTTACCACTTTTGAGGAACAACAAAGAAACGATGACCAAAGCAACGTAAATGACACAAAGGAAGTCCAACCAAAAACCAAATGTCCTATTGGCACCGACATACATGAAGAAAGCAGCACTGTTTAGGTTCTGGAACTTGTCGAATTCATCTTTGAGTATTTCTTGGGCTTTAAATGCTCTTATAGTTGTTAAACCAGTCAATGATGCTGCGAGATGAGTGTAAATGGGACTTCGAGCTGTAAATGAAAACAAAGTTGAATTATGTTTAATATCTAAGCAATATTTGGGCAGTAGAAGGAATAATCTCTTGGGGATAAGACAGGCTCAGATATTTCTAGGTGAATATAACCAGTAAAGCCTAAGAAAGAACAGGCTACGTATTGTAACAAGAAAGTCCTTACTGGGCTTTGCCAACTTAAAGAACACCTTAGTAAACCGAGTAAATCAGTAGAAGATAGTGCAGATTGTATGAGGAAGAGGACGAAACTTCCATTCATATTCTGACTTGAATACAGAGTACTCCAGGATCCAAGGGCATTATAGAAGAGAGATTTACCTTGAAGCAAACTCAAAATTCTACACTTTCTTGAGAGAATAGTCTTGGAAAGGCTCTTATAGGCATCAAGACATTTCCTTGCTGCATTAGCGATGGAAGGGGGTACAATAGATCGTTTAAGTCGCAGTGTGTTAACACCCCATTCCCAACATAACATACCTAAATAATAACAAGTCTGACTAAGGTCGGATACTTTTTAGACAGGCCTCGTACATGAATAGTTCTTAATACATATAAAAACTACTACTACTACCACCTGTATATATTAAAACTTCTCTTCATTGAGTCTTAGTTTCTTCACAACCAATAATAAAAATTGCAAAAGTACACGAAGTTGTTAATATAAATGATTTAAAGAGATTAACTTACTGACCGATTCCACTCTCTTGATATCTCTACTGGTTTCGAGGAAGACAACTCTCATGATGTAGAAGAGGACACCTATTAACAAGGTGGGAATAAAAATCCAAACCGTTAAGCTTCCTATGACTAAACTGATTGCTGCCACGCTGAGACCAATCTAGAACAGAAGAATTGGATTATTTTTGGACATAAAGTTACATTATTCAGATTATTTATTATTTATTATTTACCTGTACTGTATCCAGTAAAGTCATAGGCAAAATCTCATCCAATGTACCAATATCTTTAGAAAAACGATTTAAAATTCTCCCGCTTGGATTCAAGTTAAAGAATCTCATTGGACTGTAGACGATGTTGACGAACATCTTGTTGTGCATTTGGGTAGACGCCGTCATGCACCATTGATAAAACGCTAATGATCTTAATATTACTATAACAACTACAAGAATTACAATGGATGAATAAAAATAAGCAACATATTCGCTGGTAAATACTGGAGTCAACCACCAGCCTTCGAAAGGATTTTCTTCTGGAATTAGGGGAGATAAAGTAGTTAAATTGAGTGAGGATAAAGTTATATTTGTAGTAATTGCTTCGTTAAAGTTTGAAATACCGCTAACTGGAGTATGTTGTGACTTCCATTGTTCGATATTTACCCTAAAAATAAAAGAATATGTTTTTATAGTCCAATAAATGGCCATGTCCAGAAATGGGGCATCTAGTGGCTTTTCGGTAACGTATTAGCCTGCAGAACTTAGACGAGTGAGCCCTAAGTATTGTGGAGTAATATACTTTCTCCTTCTTTACAAATACAGAACTTTAATTAACATTGCGTTGTCATATATATGTAGTACTACATTCTTCCTTTAATTTTTGACCAATTTCGTCTGAATTGTGTTTTTATTTATTTTAATAATGATAGAAATTGGATCAGAGTTGAAAAAACTTAAAATAGTACAGGTTAGACTGCACCTTTACTGTCCCCAGTCTTAGCATATCTCCTAGAAAATTCCTGTTCGGTATAATCTATCTATCGTAAAAATATTCTGGTCTTCCATTTACCTACTTGTTGATACAAGAAAAATAATAAACTTATCAATTCTTAACTTACCAAAATGTGACGTAATATTCAGTCACACTATCCAAAGCTTGACCAAGAATAAAACAAAAAATCAGAAGGAAAACTTTGAAAAGGTGCCCGCCAGCTCTGGCATAACTTATATATACGCGACCAGTTATCTTCCCAGTACCCTTGTCTTCTCTTTTTAATACTTGGATATCATTTTCTTCGTCTTCTTCTTGTTTGACAACAGCAATTCTGGACTTTTTTCTAATTTGTTCTTCCTCCTCTTCTTCGATGTTGGCGAGAAGTTTGCTGTATTCCGTGTTGGACTTTTTGATATCTTCGTAAGATCCAGATATTTCAATTCTTCCATCATTCATGAGATAAATTTTTTCGATTTTTTTCAGATATTGCAATTGATGTGTTACCAGAATGACACATTTGGTGTGGAGATAACTTGTTATACAATCGTCAAATAGTTGTTTTCCCACATGAGCGTCCACAGCTGATAGAGGATCGTCTAGAAGGTAAATATCTGCTTCTTTGTAAACGGCTCGTGCTAAGTTGATTCTAGCTCGTTGACCACCGCTGAGAGATACACCTCTTTCTCCTACTAAGGTTCTATCTCCGTGAGGGAATAGGGTGAAATCTCTTCGAAGTGCACATACTCTAATTACTTCATCGTATCTTTTTTGTTCAAATTTCTGTCCAAATAGGATATTTTGTCTGACGCTTCCTCCAAATAACCAAGGCTCTTGAGAAGCATAAGACACTACACCTTTAATTTGAACAGAACCACTTTGAAGCTCCAGTTCTCTCATGACAACGTGCAGCAAAGTTGATTTGCCACTACCTACACCTCCTACTACAGCCACACAATCGCCAGCTTTAATATCCAAGTTAATATCGTCTAAAGAGTTGTCTGGTAGCGATTTTAACCATTTGGCAGAAGCGTTTTTAATTTTAATATTTGCATCTGGTCCTTTTAGTAAAGATTCTGGTAAAAGTGTGGGCTTCAAGTCTTTACTGTGAACTACCAAGCTGTTTGTAAGTGTGTTCTTTTCGAATTCAATTTCATCAAACAACAGGAATTGTTGAATTCTTTTCAAAGATATATACATTTCGGATCCTTGAGAAATGGCCTGAGGAAAGAACATTGTTAAAGTATAGAGAAGTTCGTAGAATGATGTCACAGTGTATGCGTAGGAGGCTGTGAGTGGGTTACCCGTAAAAGCATATACTACTATGGATATTGCGACAGCACATCTGTTCATCATTAGTCCCATGGACATCAAGATGGCTCTGATCCTCGAAGTCAGGCGGACGTATTTCATTTCTTTCCTGAAAAGAAAAAAGGATACTTGTAAGAAGGACCTAGGCGTTCACTTGATGAAGAAGACAATATGTTTGCTTTGATATCCTAAACATTTCAATTGAAACATTATTTAAGATATCAGATGCAACTTAAAGTTGTTGGCCTAATTCAGGCAGCTAATTTTCCATCAAAAATGCCTGTTTGTTTTTAGGTAACAGAATTGTTGTTACCCACATTCTAAGAAATCGAGTATTGGAAATTTAATATAATCAACACTTGGAAATAATCAGAAGAGGTGAGATCTGGTGGCTTCCTACAGATGAAGATAGCGGGAATTTTATAAAAGTACCCAACAATTTATGGCCTAAAATATTTCAGCGAGTACATATTGATTTTTCTTTTAAATTTGGACACATATTGTTATAGTAAATTTACATGATGTCCATTGGTACAAAGATAAATCAAACCTTTTAAAAACTAATCACCCTTGCTACATATGTCATACGTTAGTAAAATGTGTCTGAATTCTCGATTTTGGTACAAGAATGTCATATTGTCGCACGTTGAAGAATTCTTAAACGATTTTTGGTGACATTTTTTGTGACATTTCAGTTGGCATTCACTAATAATTGTAGGCGGGAATGGCTTGCAAATCTAAGGTGCCTTTCATCCAATTAGGTTGAATACTATGGAGAGAAAAAACGACACCCCTTCCCCCTCTCTTAGTGGTCATGTCATAGTTGTCAAACAGCTGTCAGAACTTTGTTCAAATTTAAATATTTCGACGTTATTTATGTCTTAATAAGTGTTTTTTTTTTATTAATTCGTATAAAAATCATGACTAAGTGTGCCAAAATTAATTGTAAAAACTCTTCAGTGAAAGAGCGTAAGAAAATATCTAATTTAAGTTTTCATAAGTAAGTATAAGGAGTGTACTTAGAATTTTTTTTACAATGATTAACTTTTTTTTATTATAGGTTTCCAAAAGACCCACAATATCTCAAAATTTGGTCTAAATTTGTGGGAAAAGACCAATTTGAGCCTAAACCGAATAGCATGTTGTGCTCTATTCACTTTAAGGAAGAATTTTTTGATAAGAGTGAGTTTAGGGTCAGATTGAAGAAGAATGCTGTTCCGACAATAAATAAATGTTTAGTTAGTATACACTTTATTTACAATAAAACTTAAATAACTAACTTAATAAAGAACATTGGCTTGACTAACTTTATAATAAAGACAAATAACTATATTAAAACTTAGATAACTATAATAAAACTTAAATAACTAACTTTATAATTAAACTTAATAAAAAAAAATATTAAAAATTATGAAAGACTCTAAAAAAAATATTAGTTGATATCATCAGCACATTAGTTTTAAAACAATTCATAAATTCTAATGTCTTTTCGAATATTATGCAGCACAGTTTGGACCAGTTTGTGTTGGATAATCATAGAATATTATTAATCAAGTGCATAGTTGATAAATATGTTAGTATCCGACTAACATATCCCACTAAAACTAGAGTTAATAAAGCTGCTAGCATAAGACATCAAAACAACAAAATAGTGTTGTTTAAAGATCAATAAATATTTTTTTAAATAAAAAAAAATTGTAGTGTCTTATTAAGAATGGGACACAGAAAAACTGAAGAGTTACCTATAATTTTACCAAATTTGGCAAAAGTTTTTGGTGTCATAAGATACGTTACACTTATTTGAACTATAATTATATATTTTTTGATATTTTTTAAGTAAATCATATAGGTACTTTTGTTGGGAACTTATAGGAAACTTCAAAATTAAAATGAAGAATATTCGCATTCTAAGCATAGTCTTATTTTTAATCGACTCTTCAGTTGTTCTGTATCCCTTTCTCAATGAGATACCTTGTATATAAACTTCCCACTTGAACAATTTTATATTTTTCAAGTATGTACAATACAGATGTATCAGAAATTAAAGCAAAAAGACAACTTATAACAAAGGTTTAACTTTAGTAATTTCAAGTCATCCTTGCACCCTAAAAAAGTACCAATGAAGAAATTATTCCTCCAATGCAAGGATAAGATTTTGTGTCAAATGTTATCCACAGCCACAGGGTTTCTTTTTAAATGGCATAACATTCAAAATTTTGGTCAAAACAATTTTCATCATGCACTTTTCTTGGAAATTCACAATGCTTTATTAGGATTAAAAACACCAGTTTTTAGAAACTTTTTCACTATAACACTAACATTACTGATCAGAAAAAGTGGTTAAAGTTTTCTTTTTGTAATCACAAATCGCAACTGAATGCCTATTTTTAAAATAAATTATCTCTATAATTCCATTTGTATAGTTGTATGCTGTGCATCAGTGAGATTGTTGTTTATTATACATAGGTACTAATTATAGAAATCTTTAGTAAGTACTTGCTTGCAATTTTAGTAATATATGTACCTACCCTATTGTGGGATCTTTTAAATGTTAATAATAATACTCTTCGTAATAATTGTATCCCATCAAAAAATAAAAATGTACTTATAAAAGTATAATTTCGTATAATGAAACTCGATGTCATGACATGAATATAAATTATCAAAAAAAAAAAAAAAACAGCGGTCATAATTATAAATAAACAATTCTTGTTTCCCTCCCAATGAGCTCAACCTTTTGTCTTGCTAGAACTGCCACGAAAGGTTGTCTAAATGATGACAACAATTTAATTCGTATGACGTAATAAAAATGATAAAGATATGTAGTGCATAAATAAAACCAACAACTATTATCTGAGTCTTTTTAGTTCCGATTGGTTTTGACAGAGTAGTTTTGATCATGGTTTTCTTCCATCTACTTTTAACCATAAAGTCATACCTAGCTGAATTTTTGGTCTTTTTAAACTTTTGACTGTAGCGGGTCATATTTTTAATGTATGTCATCTGCAACAGAAAGACCTACATGTTTTACATTTAAAAGTAATTAATTGTCCTTTCTACAAACTCGACTGTATTTTTAAGGGCCCCACTCACCTCGTTCTTCTTCGCCGTTTTTAACAGACGGTTAAAAACGTTGGAAGGAAAAACGTTGACTAATATGTCCACACACAACAGTTTTTGTTTTGGCAGTGGAAAAAAAATCGCGAAAAAAGAAAATGTCGAAGAAAATGGACTAAAGACTGGCTAAATAAACGCAGTACACTGTCACAAACAAATTTACTGAAGGAGCTAAGATTGGAGCCTGGTGATTGGCACAATTACTTGAGGATGGACGAGGATTCGTATCGAAAACTGTTAAAACTAGTAACACCGTTAATTGAGAGACATAAACCCATTTACGGGAATGCATCAGTCCTCACGAACGCCTAACAGCTACTCTGCGGTTTCTGGCCACTGGCCGCAGCTACGAGGATCTGAAGTTTTCTGTTATTATTTTACCGCAGGCACTAGGACGCATAATACCCGAAACCTGCCAAGCTCGATAGACTCTAATAAAAAATCTTGTAAATAATAATAAATAACAAAAACATGCTGAACGTCACTGCTACTGATATATGCCCGACCAGTCAAACTGTTGAGAACACACACCTCGTGTTTACTCGAACGGTTGGCACGATAACTGTCAAAAATCAAGACTCGCCTGAAATTTTGGAACGACGTTCTTGCCCATACACCTCGTTTTTGTGACATTTTTACCCTGACGTTTTTAACCGTCGGTTAAAAACGGCGGCAGATTTTGACATTTGTAGCTTTGATCAAGACAAGAGAATCCTTGAACGAAAAATCGTAGTTCGGGTTTTAGTTTTAAAGCACAAAGAGATTAACAAATCTGATGCACAGTGTTATTCGAACGTTGATTTTCGATCACACAGGTACTATATCGGACGGTTTCGGTGAAGACAGAACAATATAATAATATTAATCTCTTTTATGGTCTTGGCATTGGCTTGGTCGGAAAACGGTTAATAAATAATAGTAAATAGTGTAGAAGTCATAATTGCGCAATGTCATCAAATTAATTTCGAATCGATCATGTTGAAACAAATCTTAGGTAAGTAAGTCATTTAAAAGTTGTAATTCTGCATAGGACTTTAATTATATTTGAATACGACCCTGCTTAGTCAACCATTTAAGCCACGCCCAGTGGGGGTCATTTTTAATAAAACGTATCATATGCAAAACAATTGCCTCATGGCATCTCCATTAGTATTATACCTCCATGCTTTCATCTTGGAGTCTATTTTTATTTGTTTAAAGCCAGTATTATCGAACTTCTGACAGTTTTTGTCTCCATGGGCGTATCAAATAGTTTTTTTATCAGAATTCAAAGCACAAATTTAAAGAAAAACGACTCTCAAATGATTTTGCAGTAAAACAAGTTTGTATCATCAAAAGAAACTAATAAAATGTATAATTTTTCCTTTAGAAACATTCCCAATAGTGTGGAAGGTCAAAAATACAGTCAATCAGTCCAAGTAATGTACTATGTCTGAAAAATCAATAAGAAAAAAAATAAACTAGTTATACTTACAATCGAACGATTTCTACAATTTTGGCAAATGGATATTCCCACGTGTACATTTTGATCACTTGAATTCCAGCTATAATTTCGTTCATCAGTCTTACTCTCTCATCAGTTAGTCCAGCTACTGTTAACCTGTACTGCGATGTTTTCTTACCCAGCCAAACTAAAAATATTTTAAATAAGAGAAGTAGGTTGAGTACAAGAAGGTGGGTAGTTCAGTGGGAGTATTTGTGGAATATAATCTTTTAATCCGCAATGAAATATAAGAATTAAAACTTTGACACAACATTCTTTCTCTGATTCATATTTTTTTTGTGTTTTAATCATCTCCTCTGCCTTCCATCTTAATGTTTTCTTTAAATGGAGTTTGGTTATGAAATTTTGGCAGCTATGAAAGAAATTTAAAATAGGAAACAGTCTGAATGGGTGACGCAAACTCGTAAAGTTTGAAACCTATTTAACGAGTAGGGAATCCACATAGCAGTATGTCATTAAGGTTGCACTGCTGCAATGTGAACCGCAGAAGAGGGAAAAGCAGGGGAACCAGTGGCTTGGAGCCTGCTGGAATCTCTCAAAAGGGAGCAGAGGTATGCCTGAAATAATAATACTTACATTGTAACGGAATAGACAATAACAAAAACAAAGCACCAGACAAGGCAGTCAAACCAATATTGATATACAACAAACACATAACCACCAGCGTCTGTATAGGTGCCAAATAAACGTAATGAAGACGATGCACTGCTAAATCAAATCTACCGACATCGTTGGACAGCAAATTAACCATCTGACCAATTGTGGTTTCGGCTAAAGCAGATTTGCTCAGTTTCAGCGATTTTCTGTAGATCAAAGAACATGAAGCTATTCTAAACTTCATCGCGACTTGATTCATGGCTAGGATGAACTTGTGGGTGCAAATTACGTTTAGAAATTGGCTCAATACTATGAGACTGGAATAGATGTAGACCTCGTTTGCTCCTTCTGATGTCATTCGTTCGTAGACCAAGAGGAGTTTCGATATCAAAAATGGTTGCGCCATTCTGAAAAAAAAAGAGCCATTATTAATTTACAAAAAAAGAGGAAATGCATCAGAAAAAATAGTATATTAACGGAAAATTAATTTCATACAAAATAATAAAATTATAGCAATAAGTTTAAGTAGTTGACATAGAGAAATATTTCAAAATTTTGTATACAAACAAACTTTTCTTTTAACTTTGTAATATTCTTTTAAAACCACTAAATAAATTGACAAATATAAATTTAGATATGAAGTACGTGACACGAGATAAGGTGTTAGCGAACTATGACTATAATAATTTGTTCAATGCATACTTTTATACAGGGTGTCTGTAAAAAGTTTTTACAAAAACATATCACATATTCCTTAGACCAAAATAAGTCGATTTAAGTAAAATTACCTTAGTTCAAAGCTGCTTCGTTTGGGCTCCAGAGGGCCTTGAAGTTAAAATTTTTAAATCGTTTTTCCCATATAAATTTAAAACGGCATATGCGATTTTGCTGAAATTTGATATATTGGTAGAGTTTCATGTGGCAAAAAAAATGGTATTAAAATTTTGGCCGATAATACATAGGCGTAGAACTTGATTTTTTAAATAATTGCACCTTTAAAAATTCTACGCCAATGGAAGAAAAGGAGTTTGAGTATGAAATTTAGATTGCGCAACTCATTTACTTTAAAAAAGGTACTCTTGATAAGACTCGATTACTATCATGGTTTTCGCTAAATTTCTGTTATAATAATTTAGAGTGTATAGGTTTCACAAAAATATTTATTTACAACATAATGAAAATAGAGATTTTACAAAAATTGTTCAAAATGTTTACCATTTTCACGCATACAATGATTTATACGTTGAAGAAAATTAAAATGTATCCTTTCCATAACTTCTTCATCACCTCTAAGATTGTTTATTGCATCTTGAATACGTTGCCAGAGTTGTTCCTCATTTTCTACAGGTTCCCTGTAAACTGTGGATTTCAGATGTCCCCATAAAAAGTAATCCATCGGTGTTTGGTCTGGGGAACCTGGTGGCCAGTTTACAGGTGCGTCATTACCTCTGCCTATCCATTTGTGTGGATATTGTTCATTCAAGTGGTTTCTAACGTTTAAAGAAAAATGAGGTGGAGCTCCATCTTGCATAAACGACATATCTCTCCGAAGTTGGAGAGGTAAATCTTCTAACAATTCTGGCAACGTATTTTGTAGAAAATCCAAATAATTTTCTCCAGTTAATCTTCGTGGAAGTATGACAGGACCAACAATGAAATTACCAATTATTCCAGCCCACACATTAATTTTGAATTCGTGCTGAAAATGGTTTACCCTTATTGCATGCGGATTTTCAACGGCATAAACATGTTCATTATGGGTATTAGTTATACCTCTTCTTGTAAAACCCGCTTCATCGGTAAACAGAACCTTCTTGACAAAGTTTGGATCTCTTTCTCTTTGCATATTAACAAATCGACAAAAACCCAAATGAATTTGAGGATAATGGTCTCGTACTGGCTTCTTATGGTATGGATATAGCAATTGTTCTCTAAGCATTTTATGAACGACATTTTTACTTACTCCTAGTTCCCTTCCAATTCGTCTGGTGCTTAATTCTGGATCTTTTTCAACACGTTCTAAAATGTCTTCTTCAACTTCAGCAATCCTTACAAAACGTTCTCTTCCATTATCAACAGTGTACACGACGATTTGGAAACCTTTCAGAGTACACCCTGACACTCTCTCGAGCATTTCCTTCACAAAATCCTAATGTCAGTAACATATCGGTATATTCTGCATTGGTATATTGTACAGCCATATTAATAAACCACGCATTTGTTTTTTTAATTATTGAGTCAGATAGAACACTTTTAATCGTTAACAAGAGATTAGGTGTTAAAACTTGACAATATTTTTATTTAGATGAAACTATGGAAACCAACAATAAATGTTTTTGTATACGTATTGCAGGCAAATAATTAATATTCCTCAAAAAATCGTACATGGCAAGAATCGAGTATTTTTGTTAAAAGTCTCGATTAGAGGTGTTGAAGAAGATATGAAAAAAGTACATTTTTATGTTTTTCATCGTATAAAATTTTGTCCGATAATAATACATAGACGTAGAACTTGATTTTTTAAATAATTGCACCTTTAAAAATTCTACGCCAATGGCAGAAAAGGGGTTTGAGTATGAAATTTGGATTGAGTGCTCATTTACTACAAAAAAGTACCCTTGATTACACTCGATTTACTCTCATGGTTTTGACAAAGTTTTTATTTTAATAATTATTGTTTATGTTCTAAAATTACTAAAATGCAAATTTCGTCAAAACCATGAGAGTAATCGAGTCTTATCAAGAGTACCGTCTTTAAAGTAAATGAGTTGCGCAATCTAAATTTCATATTCAAACTCCTTTTCTTCCATTGGCGTAGAATTTTTAAAGGTGCAATTATTAAAAAAATCAAGTTCTACGCCTATGTATTATTATCGGACAAAATTTTAATACCATATTTTTTTCCACATAAAACTCTACCAATATACAAAATTTCAGCAAAATCACATATGCCGTTTTAAATTTATATGGGAAAAACGATTTAAAAATTGTAACTTCAAGGCCCTCTGGAGCCCAAACGAAGCAACTTTGTACTAAGGTAATTTTACTTAAATCGACTTATTTTGGTCTAAGGAATATGTGGTATGTTTTTGTAAAGACCTTTTACAGACACCCTGTATAACAATTGTCTATTGCTAGTTCTTGATCCAATATTAAAATGAAGTAAAGCAACAATTTATTAAAACATCTAACAACATATGCAAGAATAGTAAATCCGCATCATCTTTTTGTTGTTCAAGAGAGTAAAGATTAGTTATTTCAGAAATTTGATGAAAATTAGTATCTGGCCAATTCATTTCTAATTTGTATGCCTAAAAAACCTCTTCTGCATTCTCTCAATTAATTCCAAATCTTACATGAATTATAGTGGAGACAAACAATTGAATCATATTTTAAAATTCACCCAAATAAGTTTGATATTATTAATAGATATATCTTTGCTATTTTTTAAAATAAAACCAAATCGTTTCCAGTTTTTTTTTGGATGAGATTTGAAGATTAACAGTAAAGAACTCACATACTCTTTTAATATCAATATTATTTATTTTATATTCATACTAATGTAAATGTAATAATTACAAAGTACTTTTTTATATTTACTTTTGATAAATTTATTACTAACCAATCATACAACTGATTCACCTTTAACAGCGTACCAAAAACCTTTAAATGTATGTTTAAAAAGTTTTAAATCGCTTGTAAACAGAAGATTATTTACACCATCCAATACTTTACCAATATTAGTAATAAATACATTGAATAAGAGTCCACAGTGTGACCCTTGTGGTACCCATGTAAAAGTCGGTAAATGTAGCAAGAAACTTGACATTTGATTACCTACCATTTCTAAGTTTAATTTTTTTCATACAAAATCACTACAGTCTGTTCGCTATACTTACGCGGGTTTCGGATTAAAAATTTTATGAGTATTTCCAGGTAAGTACCCGAAAGTTTGACCTGTTCTTTGGGGAAATATCAACTGGTTAAATGAAATGAAAAATAATGTACAACTTTTTAATTAAATAATAATGGAGAATCTTTTGTATAATTGAGAGCAGAATTAAACTTCTTCATTAATGGAGTCTAATGTGGCTATTATAAGCCTAATAATAATTATTTTATATTACACTTCACATAGAAAATATGGTCTATGTATATAAGAGGGTTATTTAGCTCAAATAAAATATTTTCTAACATAAAAGTTTGTTCCATGTAGAGAATTTCAAATAAAAAATAAAAAAATTGAACTTGCCAACAAAAATGAAAATCAGTCATTATCATCCAAAATATCATATTTTATTTTCACGAGTCCACCAATCTTCTATTAGTTTCTCGCACTTGGATATACAGTTCCGCCACACTTCTGGAGTTGCAATTGAAAGTGCTTTTCGTCAAGTTTCCCGAACTGCGTCGTCACTATAACCATTAGGCCCAATATGGTTGTCATAATATTGTTTTGCTATTCCCCATATATATTCGATGGGATTAAACTGGCAATGATACGGTGGCAGACGTAAAACTTGATGACCGTAACTTTCAATAATCTGATCCACAACAAAGGTTTTTGGTTTTGCGTGTATATTTGCCAAGCGTAATAATTCTGATTTTAATATATATTGAGGAAATGGTATATGTTCCTTTGTCAACCATTCTTTAATTTTATCAACAGTCCAAGAATTCGTTGGACTTTTGTGTAATACTTCAGAATGGTAGGGTGCATTGTCTAAAATAATTACGCTGGGCTCACTTAAACCTGGGAGAAGTTTTTCATGCAACCATTTTACAAACATTTCTGTGTTCATATTATCGTGATAGTCACTGGATTTTGATTTAGATGAAAATATTAAATCAGCACCTTCTATAAAACCCGATTTCCCTCCTGCATGTAAAATTATGTGTCGCTTCCCTTCTCCATCGGTATGTTTGATGGACTTTACGTTATCATCTTGCCATGTTCTCTTGGTTGCATTCCTAGAAAATATCCATGTTTCGTCTAAATATAAAAAATTCGCCCCTTCTTCTTTAAATTTAGAATATTTTCTTAGAAAGTTAATTCTCTTGTGTACGACAGAACTTCTTTCACAAAGGGCCTTTCTGTTATCCTTCTTTTTAAAATTTGAAACCCAAGTTATGTATCACTTGCCATAGACTTGTTCTGCCAATGTCGTCAAATTTTCTATCTATTAATTCCGAGAGAATTGTATTTAAGGTCACATGTTCCTTGTTGGCCCTCATTCGATAAATGGTATCACGAATTTCAAATTTCTTTCCATCTGGAATATCTTTCGTTTTCAATGATGGGCGAGTTTTGCGGTGATCTTCTTTCGGCAGTTCACTATTGTGATTTTGTAATACTCCTCTTAATTTGGTTTCACTAATTCCTAGAGCTTCGCATACGCGTTGTTGTACAGACATTACCGATTTTAAAGGACCGCCATTTTCTTTTTCATCCGTAAAATACTTATGTACATTACAAATTTGACCATCTACATCTAACACACGTCTAGGCATTTTTAAAATTTCGACTAAATTTACAATATACATACAATGTCAACACTTGCAAAGAATCAATTCAACTGCAATATTTGTAACAAATTTAGTACCTACCCTAATGTTATTTTAATTTAAATCTCACCATTAGGGCAATTTTACCTAATTTCTTGGGAAGAGGCTTATTGGAACTTGTTGTCAATGACTAATTTGCATAATTTTATTAATCCGAAACCCACGTAAGTATAGCGAACAGACTGTACTTCTGAATTTTTAAACGACTCAATAATTTATCATAATAACGGAATCAGTAAAACATTTGACTACAATTAAATAAAATAAAAATACAAGAAATAATGAAAAAGTTAATACTTACTTTATCATTTCCGCAACCACAGAAAGTATATTCAACAGAACAACTTCATAGATGAAAGTTCCTAGTAGCACTCTTAAAAACGATGGATTTTTGTTATTTTCGAGGTGTTTCTTCCATCTCATTTCCAATTTTTTACCAAGATCTCCAGAATCGTGGTCCTTTCTATGCATGTACATATCATCTTCAGTCAGTTCTCTTTTGTACCCCTTCACGAAATAAGGAATAAGCCAACTAAAATAGATATATAAATAAGTAAAATGTTTACAGAAATAAAGTTCTATGTTCTAATACAGTAATCCTATTCAAAGGTCAAAATAACTATATAAAAATATACTGGATAAATGGTCATAAACCCCATTTGGATATAGAAAATCCCGCTATGGGGATGTGTTATTACTACAAATATTAATCTATACTTAAATGTAAAGAGAGAATCAAATGATTTGCCCAGAAATTGAAAGACATACTTCATAAACCCAACTTAGAAGCCATTAGACTACCAAAACAAGATAATTAAGAAACATTACTTAAAAGGAGAAAACCTCAAGAAGTGGTGCAATATTATTGAACGTGTAGTGTAGCAAAATGTTTATTAAAAAGAAGTAATTTAAATTATTAAATATTACACTGGTAGAAAAAAGAGATAAAGGATTCTACATTGGTTACTAGCGGTATTTTCATGAAGAAATGGTAGATTTCATTCATGGAGGTTTATAACTAGATGATTTCATTAGAGTTGTTATACTGTAGCAAAGTTACGGAGTTACGATGGACAAGTTATGTTATTTTTAACAGATTCTATGTGTTTATAAAATAATAGACCTATTAAAAATAACACAGGTTGTCAATCATAACCCCCAATATCACTTAAAAAATAACTGTTATCACCAAAATGACTCTAGTCATCAACCAGCCATAGAGTTGGAAGGAAATATTGTTAACCCATTACCATGATTCTATAAGAATCATAAAATAAAGAAAAAATATAAAACACATAGAGGAGATGACATTTTTACAAGATAAAATTTTCCATAGATAAGAAAAATATCTTAAAAGTAGAAAGCAAAACATTATTAACTTATTTTACTTACCAAAAAAATAGACTAGACACAATATTCGTTCTATCCCGCGGATTAATTTTTTTATCGGCAACTTTGACTCCAGCTTCCTCCATATTGGATTTTTTCTGTAAATAATAAATAAATAGAAAATATTAGAAATTTCTACGTCAAAAATTAAAAAAATAATAGCAATTAAAAAAAATTAAGTGGAAAAGGAAGACGGGCAGATGCTTTTGGGCCAAATCCACACTCAAAAGGGCTTCTTTTTTCTCGATCATAAAATGTCTTTTTAGAAATAAAGTTTAATAGTCTAATTAGAATAATTAAAAGAGCAGAAATTAGTATTGATAATATAATTGTTCCATGGAAAGTTGCTAACCAACTAAAAATGTTAATACCAGTAGGGACTGCAATAATTATTGTTTCTGAGGTAAAATATGCTCGGGTATCAACATTTATCCCTACTGTGAATATATGGTATGCTCATACAATAAACCCAAGTAATTCAATTGCTACTACTGCATAAATTATTTCCCAAATGGTTAATTGAAGAGTAAGCTTAAAGTTTTCGTAATTTAACTTGATTTATCCCATAAATTCCTCCCACAATTGAAGAAATAATACTAATTAATGTAAATAATAGTATTATATTTACCTTATTATATAATTAAAATTGATGGAGAGAGTTTTTGTCAAGTTATTAAAATTAGGTTAATAATGGGCCATGTTCACATGTGAGATATGCTGTTTTATAAATTATATTGTAATAGTTAGTCGCTATACAAGTTATTCTAAATAGTCAGTTCGTTAAAAAAGCCAAAAGTTTTTAAATTAAGCCCAATTGAAATTTAAAATTTGAAATTATACGTCATCGGGAATAGACCAATCATCTTGTGTCGAAGTTTTTTTTGTTATACAAAACTAAGCCAACGAACAAACCGACACACAGAATGTCGAAGTGAACGCATATCTAAGTGACATTAACATTGACACCACCTAACACCTAACCTTAGTTTTTTGTTTTGGTTTAATTTTATTATTAATATGGATCAGCTGGATTTATAAAAGTTGAATCAAGTGTTTTACCCATTGTAAACGAAAATATAATTACCGAGATGATTACTGCATTTTTTAACAATACTCAGTTTACAAAAGTCAGAACGGTAAGACTTTGTTTTAATAGTAGGTATTTACAGTTTATGTGGAGTCAATACACCTTATAGTAAAACATATTTATCTCAGGTTTTATTTTTAGATCTGCCAAGCAAGAATATGGGGATAATTTCTTTTTCCATAAGAGAGAAGGAGACAAATTACACCTAAACATAAAGTACGGCAAAAACCTTCTGATGTGCTTGTTGTAATTAACAAAAATGAAATTTTTAGTGCACAATGCTTACGATATGCTGCATGTCAAGGTTTGTAATATTTATTATGCTTTTTTGTTTTTATATCACATATAATAAACAGTGTATAAGGCCTTTTATTTCTATAAATATTTTTTTTCTAATTTTGACATATAGACATTTTTTGTAATCGCAGCAAGTGTTAAAATAATCTAGAAATAGATTTTGTTAGTGAACCTAGTAATAATTATGATACCAAAGAATGCTGCAGAGCACCTATGAAATTTTGAGTTAAAAAATATGCCATATTTTTAGGCTATTTTTATACCCTTTTCAAAAATTTTATGCTCCTCGTTTTTTGCAAAACTTAAAATGATCTGATAGCCTTCGAACGAAGTCAGCAAAGCACCTCTGTTTTATAAAGTTTTTTCTGTGAAAACAGCAACACCATATATTTATGCACTTGAAATATTATATTTTTAAAAAATACATGGTGCTTCTTGCTAACCTTCGAAAGAAGCCAGCAGAGCAATTCGGTTTTTTAAAGCTTTTTTCTAAAAACCACACCCCATTTTTAGACTCTTGAAATATTGTAAAACTTTACTAAAAAAATTGCTATTTTTAAATAATACAGGGTGCTTTGTTGGAACAAAGTCAGCAGGACACTTCAGTTTTTTAATTTGTTTTTTTATATATAAAAACAACTACTTATGACACATGTTTAGGCTGTTTTAAAATCCTAAAAATGTGGTAAGTATATTTGTTTTCAGAAAAAAAACTTTGAAGTCAGCAAGGAATTGCGAATTTTTTTAAAAATGCCAAATTTCGAATATTTTATAATATTGTAGGAGCCAAAAAACGTGGTGTGGTTTAAAAAAAAAACTGGGGTGCTTTGCTGGATTCGTTTGAAGCTAACAAAGCATCCCGTAATTTTTTATTTTATAATACTCAATAGCCTAAAAAATTGTACTTTTAAAAATAGCAGTTTTTTTCGAAAAGCTCTATATTTCAAAAATGTGGTGAGATTGTTTTTTTTTAACTTTTGAAAATCCGAGGTTCTTTACTAGATTTGTTCAGAGCTAGTTAAGCTCTGCTCATCTTGTTACATAAAATAAGGCATTTTGTAGCTGGTTATATAGTTATTTTGTAACTGCATATCTCTTTTATTTTTTTCAGGTGGTTATAAACATGTGGCTTCATAGAAGAAGTGAGGAACCATCTGTAACATCTACTCAGTGTTATTGGAAAGGCTCTAATTTATCAAAATGCGTAAATATTGATGTACACTTGGCTAGATTGTTAAAGAAACCTCTTCATCCACTACAGGAAAATAAATCAGTACTTTTATATTCTTAGGATTCGTATATATATTTTTTATTTGTAAATAAATTGTTTTTTACTTCATTTTTCTCATTTTTTATTAAAAGGTTGATAAATAAAATTTTCACAGATTTTTATATTTTTGTTTGTAAACAATAATTGAAAAGTTTTTATTAAAAATCGCCAATGTTAATAATAATAACTTAAGTCAATATTATTCTTTCTCCTTTTTTAAAGCTACTATCAATAAAGGTATTACTTTAGCTTGACCTATGATCAATTTTTAATTTTGTGATATATTTGGTTTGACAGAAAAAAAATTATAACCTTTTGACATTGGTTTTTACTTAGATTTTCATAAAAAATAAACGGAACTGCAAACATGTTTTACTATCGTAATAACGAATAGCAACATAAATTTTTTTTTTCACATTTATTACTGTTGTCATTTTCATAAAGGATTGATAAGAAGGCACACTTTCTGGTTTTTTGAAAAAGGTAGCAAGAATTGTGATATTTTTAAATTTATCACCAGTGATACCACATGTAGTTACCCGATTTATTGGAATATATAGACTTTGCTACCACATTCAACTGAACTTGGTTGTTTTTAATATTTATCACCGCGACATAGGCGTTTTTGTTAAAATGTTTCATTTTAAACTGCTGTAAATAGGTGCCTTTGTTTTGGTAGTTTTAGTCCCAAAAAAATCTATGCATATACAGGTACTCATTCCTCTTTGATTTGCCCGAAAAGTTAAATTTTTATCAAAAATTACATTGGCTGTTTAAAAACTCATTATAATCCCTGAAATGTGATAATTAGGTAAATTAAATTAAAAAACAAACAAAAAAGTTTATTAAATTAATATTTACTCTTACAAAATAGGTTCTTGTAAGTTAACAAGCAATTATGCAGATATTACTAAGTAAATGTACTTGCTTAAAATTCACACACGAATGTGGTTTTAACATGTTAAATTAACTAACCCTTCTTATAACTCTTTCCACATGTATGTATTCTTAGAGATGCTATTCTTTTACTTAATTGTACATCTTCTGGAGAACTTTTTTCATTCTGTGATACACTAGGTGTGGCTTTACTAAAGTGCATCCCATGTTTTCAAGTAGCTGAATATTCTGAAACCCCTATCTGCCATTATATGGGATCCAGGAACCAGTTTGTTTAAATACCCACATTTTTCTATTATTTCTTTATCACTAGTTCTTCCACAAAATGATGAATAAATTCGGTATCTTCTAAACTTTCAGGAGATTCTGCATTTTCTTCCAGAAGGGTTTTTAGGTTATACACCTAAGAATTTATAGTAGCCTCATTTTCAATTTCCTGAAGGGGACAATTCGCAGAAATGGCTACTACATCTTGATAATCCGGTGTATTTTTATTAAAAAGTTCACGAGAAACATCGCCAGTAGAAGGTTGATTTTCTTCTTTCCAAATTTCTAGGAACACTAATAAATATTTTTGAAGATGAATGTGAATCATTATCACATTCTGGAACAAAACACTTTTTCGTAGTCATAATATTTATAAAAAGTACAAAATTAAACACTCAAATTCCAAATAAATTCTTGATCGAGACACTATGACAGATGCCATACACAGTGCTGCCATTTTGCCATTTTCTGAATTATTAAGTGACTTTTAAAACAATGAAACTTTAAATATGGTATAAGTTTAAACAGAAATAATACTTTCAAAAAACATTTGATATTATGTATTTAAAAGATATTTGTTTAACAATGTTTTAGAAGTCTAAAATTAAGAAGGAGTACACAAACGAACGTACATCACTTCTCGTAAACCTTCTAGCCGGCAACGTTGTGCGCTAGCTCCTATTGGTCTATTCCCGGTGACGTCATAAATTTTAAAAAAATTCGTAACTCCGGCAAATGAATAGATAAAAAAAAAATAAAAAAAATGTAGTTTTATTTTCAACTCTATTATTCATAAAAAAAATTTCAAAATTTTTGAACATGCCCCATTCAATTTAATCATTCGTCTACTTCTGGAAATCAATAATTAAATGGTGCAGCATCTAGTTTTTTTAAAAGATTATTATTATTCAATAATTAAAATTTTGGGGGACAAATAATCTAAAATTTATTGAAAAAATAATTCTAAATAAAATTATTGTTGAGGCTAAAGATTGGATAATAAAATATTTTAGGGTAGCTTCTGCTGGATAGTAGTTTTTATGGGATTTAAATAATGAAATAATTCTTAACAAATTAACTTCTAATCCTATTTATATTGCAAATCACGAGTAAGCTGAAATAAAAATTAATGTACCAAATATTATTGTATCAAAAAATAAAATTTTTTAAAATTTTAAAATTAAAAAAAAGGGGGCCCGACCTTTATGTACGGGGTATGAACCCGTTAGCTTATTTAGCTTATCTTTTTGATATTAATGGGAATAGTT